GCGAATGCGATGGTACCACTGCCGTAGCTCTAGGACCATTTTTGTCGAAGTTATTTGCGAAAAACTAAAACCACATTTCAGGGTCGTTGACCTGACCTCTGACCTCAGGTCACCAAAACTATTTTTCCATTTTTCTCTAGGTCAAACGCTACACAGCCGTGCTCGTAATTTGTCTTTATCTCTAAAACTCTATTTTTAGCAGCTATTTGAAGTTTGCGTCTGTGACGCCGAAGTTTGCCGTGCAGGGGTCTAGAAAAATGGACCTTGTGACGTCATCAAGGGGGTTAGGTCCAAATTTTTTACTTCAGAAGATGTCAAATTGATGGGAGAAAAGGTACTGAAAGTTTCGCCTTCCTATCCCTAAGCGTTCGGGAGTTATCGCAAATATTCGCCAGGGGGGGGGGGGGCGAAAAACGCCCCCCCCCCGGGCCCGCGAGGGTTAACATAGGGAAAACTTTGGCCGCTTTGCGGGACGGGATAAATTTATCCGATCAGAATGAAATTTTGCACTCAACATTGTGTCATGGTATCGACAAGAATTCCGACCCGGCCCGACGGATCCTAGAAACTTTTTCAAATGGACCACCCTACTACCTACAGAAGAAACAAAAATATTGTCATTTAAAATTATAAATTACCATGCCATTCAAAGTTTCTATGTAATAAGGAAGGATGCCTAGTGATGGACAGGTGGATCATGATATTGAGGATCAATGGGTAGAATTGGAGCAGAAGTTTCATTTAATGGGTGCAAAATAACCCAGTAGGTATTTGACTCACCCCTTAACCCAAATCACCACCTTTCACCTTAAAGTTGTCAATTTAATTTTGGCCATATTCCAGCTAAGTCATCAGGCCATCTACCCCATGTAAAGCCCCTGTCTGTCTCTTATGTGAGTTATGCGGAGCTCTTCTGAAATGAATCCTGAACATAATGAACCTAGCTAGGTTTCATGCCACACTGACACCATATGAAAGTGTTGAAAATGTGCTACAAATTTGACAACTTCATTAGGTATGCTTTATGAAGACAGCAGGAAAGCAGGTAGGTAAGTACCTACTTACCTGCCTCAGCCTAGATGTGTCACTGGCTACCAACAGTACCAACGAAGGTAGATAGGGTACCTGTGAGGTAGGTCAATCATTCCTTCCTTTCCTTATTAATATAGCCTGTGATAAATCTGGTAGGTACATTTATGAAATCAAGTTGATAAATTGCAAGATCATAGCAATAGTGAAGGAAAATTAAAACGCGAAAACGGCACGGTGCGACTGCGTTTTGCCAATAAGTATGCTAAGCTTTTATAAATACCTATTCTATGTCTTTTGATTTTTTGGTAAGATGACGTCATTGATTATCATGTAGTATGGTAGATCATCATAAAATAAATCGGTTGTACAACACCAATTTCGTTTTGATTATTATTTCATTTCAAATAAAACCACTATTTATAATATTCGGTAAAATATTTTAAGTAAAATGAAATATATTAAATATGTTATGCTTAGGCTCTCAGGAGAAAAGGATCAACAAACATTCTGCTGCAAATTAAACAATGCAGCAAATTAGCTATTGTGCGTAAACGTAATTAGCGAGACGAAAACGGCGCTTTTGTTTCAGTTATTTTTGTAGGAGTTTCAGATATTTATAGAGTTCAGTGGGTTGTTTTCTGAGGAGATGTGGAGATGTGAATTATTAATTAATCACACTTTATTAGTATATAGGGCCTTGCACTTTATCATCTGTATTAAAAAAAAAAACGTTTCCTGCTGAGTGCAGAAAGGTAGGTAGGTGCATCGCCAGGTTCTATCACCAGGGCCCTGTTTCACCGGTGATAGCAGCACGCCGATTTTACGACTTGTCAAATTGGGTTTCCATGGAGACATCAACAGGCCCATTGCTCCAACACTACCACAAGTGTGACGTCAGCTCGCGCAATTTGATAGCAGCGTGGTAGCAGCAGCCCGTGAAACACCGCCCTGGATTGGAGCAGTTATTGCAGTTGAAAGTCAAAGTTGGCTGTTCATGTTTAGGCCCTGTTCTTTATTTGGCCTTCTACCCCATATTGCAGTTGTGATGACAAGCAGTTTTCAGTGTAGTTTTGTGATCTTTGATGTCATCAATTGGTGTCATTATTTTTCGTCAACTAAAACTTATTTGAACTTTCCATTCAATCGACTCAATCATACGAGTCACTCTAATTTTCGGGAATCAAATCAGTCAACCAGTCGCTAAAGTCAAACGAGTCAGTCAACCAGTCATCTCGAAAAGTCAATCGACTCAATCCAATCAACTCAAAATACGCGTTGAAACAAATCAATCAATTCAATCGACTTGATTGGTATACAACCCTGGTCACAGTCACCGCTTGAGGGGTTATAGGGGTTATAGGCAGCGCCTGGGACAGTCACAGTCAACGCTCCGGGCACTTAGTTATAGGCAGCAGCTGAGGTGGTTAACCTGCGCACCGACGGGGGTCTGCGCCAACTTCGCACCGACGGGGGGGGCGGATGACCGCCCCCCCCCCCTGAGATCTCGAGAACGAAGCAAGATAGCGACAAGCGGTAAACGGCATCGGATACGCACGGTCAAGATCTACAATTTTTACTAAGGTCATTTTCAGGTCAGGTCAAAGATGACGTCACAGGGGTCGAAAAAGTCAAAATGGCGGCGCTAGATATGGAGAGAGTTTTTCTCGAATAACTTTCGAATTAGTCAAGATAGGAACAAACTAAGGGCATCATCGTCATCCTCTCGTCAATCCGCATCGAATGATATATATGTTGACCTCGAAAGGTCGAGGTCAAAGTTGACCTCAGGTCACGTGACCTCGAGGTCATCATGTATATATCATTCGATGCGTCTTGACGAGCTGAACACAATGAGACCATCCACGCGTCTGTATCTTGTTCCTGTACGGAGTTATTGGCCAAAAACCTTTGGTGACCTTTGATGACGTCACATGACCTCACAGCTGCCCAACAGCAAAACAGACCTCAAGGTAGTGAAGGTTGATCGTATATGAAGTCATGTATGGTATATGGGGCCATTCCGACCCGTTTTAGTGGTAAAAACAGGGAGTTGATTTTTCCCCCATTGACTTATAATGGGGAGGTCGCGAAATTGACCTGACCTTAGGTCACCGATATCAAAATTCCGAGATAAACAAATTGTAGCTACTAATGACCTTATAACATCCTGCGACTTTCAAATGCCTCCAACATCTACTGTAGCTCTGGCACGGTGACAAAGTTGCAAAAAAGTGACTTGAGGTTGGGTCATTCAAAGTGACCTGGTGACCTGACCTTGAAAGGTAGGAGGTTCAAACTTGTACACCATGTGTAAAATTGATGAGGGAATAGTCGTACCAAATTTCGCGGCGCTACGCGCCGGGGTTTTCCCGCTATTCGCGAAAAACCTCAGGAGGGGCGGATATCCGCCCCCCCCGTCGGTGCGCGGGTTAAAGGCAGGTGCCTAGGCAACCAAAAGCATCACTCGAGGCAGTTATAGGCATCAGCCGAAGCAGTCACATGGGCAGCATCTGAGCCAATTAGTCATCACTAGAGGCAGTCACAGTCATGGCAGAAAGGAGTAGTCGTCACACAAAGCAGAGTCCCGACAGGGGAACCTTCCCTACACAGAACACTTTTCTAAGTTGCACTGGCTACTTTCAAGAAATTAATCAAAACAACAAAACAATTACCTGCTGGTTCTTTTTAAACGGTAGCGAGCCGTCTTTCCGTGAATCGCGCAGCAGAAAAGGTCGTCCGTTGCCTCACCCATTTGCGGTGGCTTCTGTAACCGAGGCCGTGACATCTCGGTAGCGTCGCCCTCATGTCACGTCGCTACCAGCGGCCGCGCCAATCGGCCATCCATCAATGGAAGGTGTGTCCGGTCTCGGCCGTCCCACCGCGAGCCCAGCGGGCGGGCCGGCGCCACCGCCACCGGCCATGATAATTCCAGATCCGTCCAGGATATTTTTCATACTTTCCCACTCTTTAATTGGTGTTTTATTCCAATTTCGGTGTGCGTGTGGCGCTGCGCGTCGGGGCGATCCCAGATAGGAGTGTTTTCCCGGCCCGACGGAATTCAAATGGTCCCGACGCACAATACACGCCCGGCCATTTAATTAATGGTTTGCGCAGCTCCTTTGAAGGTGGGTGCATATCAATGAGGGGTGACGATTAATGCGATTCCAATCAGGCCAAGGACGGCTCCCTATCGTTTTGGAATTACCGTAAGTACCGTACAGGTAGAATTGCGACCATAAAGACAAGGAGGGATCGGCTCATTTCAACTCGCAGAGCTCTGTCACCCAGACAGTCCCTTTGATCAATCTTCATGGATTGATTAGATTGACTGAAATGACGTCAGTAAAACTTCAGGTAGACATAAAATTGCCCCCTAAATTTAAAGCTCGGCACATATGTCGATATGTAATGTCGAGACGGGAGTGAGACCAGCTCTTTAAATGGCGTTCGACGCGAATTAAGAAGAGTGATAAACACGCCGTTGAAAATGAGTCGATTATGCTGGCTCAATCTGTAAACTTCTGCAGATTTTGCTCAATGGATGCATTGAAATAAGATAATAGATTAACCTCGAAATCATTGAATCCCGCCGGACAGCCATGCACCCGATGGGACTCGGCGCGATATGGCGATGAGGCGTTTGCCACCGCCTGGTCGCCGGGACGTGGTCCGTTTTAAGCCGTTTGTGAGACCCCTGGCAGTAAATATTTTCCGCTAAAAAGTACATCGTTGATCTGAGAAACAAGTATGTCACCACCTCAGCTCCATGATTCCATATATTTTTATTACAAAACTCGTTCTCCCTCATACGTCAACCGTCATGCGTCATAGACTTTCGACTTTCGAGTGTCGAGTCTCAGTCTCACAGTTGAAAGTGTTGTGAATATATGATTGCAAGCATTGCTTTACACTTAACAAGCCGTTGTTTTATCAGACTGTTTAACTTATTACCTTCGATTTGTTTTCAGCCAATTCGCCTCGTCCCTGCACTTCAGAAATGGTAAGTTCCGTTATGGTAATGTATCCGTTACCCAAAAGTCATAGCAATTATGCATCGTTTCAAGCTTGGAAGGACTGGTTCGGATCATCGCATGCGACGCAGTGATTCGCCTAAACGGCACATTGCATTTGTCCTTTGTATAACGCAGTTTACAAGGTACGAAATTCATTAACTGCGTGTGTTTCTTTTTTTTAGGACGCTCAGTCTCACAAGTCCGACCCCGAGGAAAAAACGGCCCCAGCTGAGCAAGATGCTACGGAAGCTCCAGGACCACCAGCCGGTGCCAAAAGCAGGTCTCCTGATTCGGCAGAGGACACAGCCGACAGTCAGGCTACCACCGCCGCCCGCGCGGCTGCGGCTAGTCCAGGCGCGCCGCGACTCTCCAGACCAGCGTTAGTGCTGGCCCTCGCCAGACGGAACCGTGTACGTAGACGCCGCGCTGCCATCCGCCGGGGGCTGCTTGTCGCCATCCAGCAGCTGGTCCAGAATGACCGCCAGTTCCTGGAGCTGGAGCAGCGCATTGTGGCTGCCATCGAGGGAATGGTGGCCCTGCAGGAGGCCGGCCTGGCGAGTCGGGACCGCCTCGCAGACGCACTGATCGAGGCCATCGCTCGTAGACGTCCGTGATAGGTACAGAGTACCGAGAAGCGACATGGGTATAGATCCGAGCGTCGGACCTGTTATTCCTTTGTTTTATGCTCGAGCCGAGGCATTGGCTCTTCTAATCTAACGTACTCGGGATGGTTATGATTTTATTTTTGAATAAAACCAGCGTCCTGCTTGTTCGCATTGAGTTTCTATCTGAGAGTAATTTGTGAGAGTGGTGCGCTGGTCTAAGAGTAGTTTCATAACATGGTTCTTTGACGCGCATTCCAGTAACGGCGTGGCAACGGTGACAATGCAGTCCTTAGGACACCCTTGAGACCCAAGCATCATCTTCAGCCGGCTTGTGATCCCCAAGAGCTGGTGTGGGTCTCATAGGTTCCTGAGCTGGGTCCTCAGGCTGGCGAGAACCTAAGAAGCCTGAGAATGGTGGTGGTGGTCTGTCCGTGATAAGCACAGTGCTATGGTGTTTCGAGAAGCCGTTATGGGGACTCAAGAGTGTGGACAAGTGTGGACAATCAAATGCCTGCGTAGAGCCTTCAGAGCCCGTCTTGAGGGCCCTCAGAAGTCAGAAGCCAGTGTCTGCCCGAAAAGGTCCACTTGGTTCTCAAAAAGGCTCAAGTCCCCCTCTCCACGGACCCATGTGCCCCCCCCCCCTACTTTTGTTCGCATTTGCTTGACTCACTATGCTGATCGTGATCACTTTCGTGACCACCTCGTCGGGCGGCACTGCGGCAGCGGTGGCACAGGACGGACAAAAACGTCTGTGAAGTGATACCGAAACCGTCCCGACACCCACCAGTCGCTCGTTATTGCCGCTTACTCACTCATTTCCACACACACCCTGTTCGGGCGTGCCCGTAATGTGAGAAAGTGACTGAGCCACGGCACCGTACGGTGCTGCCACCATGGCGGGCGTGGATTGAAACTTGAGAAGGCGCTCCTACAACGATCGCCACCGTGGTGTGCCGTTGCCCCTTATTATAGGTCTTGGCGTGGCCGTCACCCGCCCACTCGTTCGTCAGCCCAGATCCTCTCGAGTAGGTAGGTATATTTATCAACATGGAAAGAGGTCAGCACAGCCAGCTTTTGAATGTCTTGCCAGTTTGGTTCAGTTAGGTATTACTCCGTTCGATGCAACCAGCTCAGTGAAAGAAAACAGGTAGGTATAACCAAACATGTACCCGTAAGCATTTTCTCCGCGTGATTTGGACCAAAACACAGGTTTTGCACTCGGATAAGCAGCAAAACTTCTATTCAAGTGATTTTTTTTTATACATGACAGCACAAATACACCAGCCTTTCAATACGGCCAGATCTGCATGAAAGCTATCGTTGAAGCTGTAACGTATTACATCAGCACTATACACCTTAGTACACGCACTGCACACCTTTGTTACTGAATCAAACATTCACCTCAAGCCCGTACAACGTCTCGGCCCTTCACCGACGTTGGTCCGGTCCAACATACGGACAAGCCTACGGGATGCTGGCTCGCTGGGCCAATCAAGTTTACACCGCAGACGAAGTCGTAAACTCCTGTCGGCGTCCATCGCAGCTGTTGGTGTGATTGTCGAGGGATACATCGGCGACAGGCTCGCCAATCAAGTCCTGGGCAGTACGGCCAGGAGAGGGCTGTGAATTTGGGATCCGTCAATACTAACTGCGTCTTGTTAGTACCTGGCAGGGGCTGGGCGGAGTCTACACGACAGTTTTTAGCACATTTTGATTTGATTCTATTCACTCGAAGGTCAACCGGCGCAAGATGCGATCATCTTTTACATATATAAACACTGATCACTGTGATGGCAAACGGAGCTGGGTATGGGTTTGCATGATTGAAATTCGCCCGAGAAACACTGCCGCAGTCGACCGTTGACGCACCGTTGACGTCATCAGATCCATGCGTGTTTTGACGTCACTGGTCTGTGTTACAGCCGGCATCTCTGCGGGTATCACTCGGGGTCACTGAGAGTTGAGACCAAGATATAGGTGCGTCTGTGTCCAGCGGGCCCCCGGTGAGGCTTAGCAGCCTTCCCGACATTCAGCACGAGCCAGTAGTTACACCGACGCTGCGTCACGCTGGTGGGCTTGGCAGGGTCAATCATTTGATGTGTATTTGATAGCGGCGATTTGCATACAGGCTCTGACACACCCGTCGTTATCAATAACTCCCCCGCGATTAGAGATAATTTAATGGCCGTGATTTCCTGTTGACTAATGCCCGGTAATCAATATTGATATCTGTAGGCAAGAGTTTGCATCCTAGTTGCATCATGATAAAGTGGGCATCATGTTTGGCGAAATAGCTTGCATGCTATTATTCATTTTTATTCAGTGGTTCTGAGAAGCAGCAATGTGCTACACGCGGTACACAATTTGACTGTTGCCAACCCTTTCGTCAGTCCGAGAATCACTCTTTCTTTCTCTCCGTATAAGGAATAACCCCTAATAATGGGCCATTGTGTATTCGATAGTTGGTATATTGCTTCTCCCACTAAGTATATGAAGCCTTTTTGAAATAATATAAGACATTATTTACAATTATATTTGTTTCAATTACGTGCTCTCGTACCAAAAAAAACAACAAAAAATCCCAGAACAACATATTAATTCAAGTGGTTACTAATAGTTATCTCAGCAAATGTTTATTGATCATATCATATTCGCACTGTTTCGCCATCAAACCCGAACACGTTAGGCACTGGTAATGTAATGAGTACGGCCTGGCTACGTCAGCCTTCAACATTCATTAAAAGTAGGTAGGCATACCTAAATGGAAATGTGTCATTTATTCTTATAGGCATTGATGTTCAAAACAGCGACACATTATACGTCACGTAGTTTTTCACACTTTATCGTTTATCTGGGGAAGGGAGCTATCGGATGTGTATTTCTGTTTTGCTGGAGTTCTTTTAGTCCAGTATATAGGTACAGTTCGTTTTTTATGTTCGGCCCTCACTCTCACTGTAAACATCCACACCCCACAGACCACAGACCATCGCTATAAACCTACACAGAAGATAACGATAACGCGCCATTACGTCACTATCACGATTGTGTCTACTGATAGGAGCAGCGCCAGGCCCGCCGCCAGCCGCTACTCACTCGCTGGGAGTGGTGGCGCGCTCCTGTAATCCGGCTACTCGGAGGCGTGGTTCCGTGGATCTCTTGAGGGCGGGAGTCCTCCCCAGCGGCGGTCTGTGTCGATCGGGTGTCCGCACTAAGCCCGGCATCAATATGGGGCCCCCGGAGGAGTCTGGGGTCGCCAGGTTGACTAAGGAGGTGCGTACCGGGCCAGGCGGGTGACCGAGCAGCCAAAAGTACCCGTGTCGGGCAGTAGTGGGATCGCGCCTGAGAACAGCCGCCGCTGGGGAGCCCGCCTAATACAGGGAGACCGGATCCTTTTCGAACGTCTCAAAGTGACATTTTCTTTTTTAATAAGATGCTTATATTGGCACGTTAGGTGTAATGAGCCTTCTGCGATTTCCTTAAATTCTTAATTAGCCTGAGATCGAATAGAAAGCAGATGAAAATAATATTTTCGAATATATCCTGAGTTGTTTTTACGTGGAATCATTATCAGATTAAATCGCAATTATTCGCTGTCTTTTTATTTTATCATGCCTTCCTAAATCCATTATTGTCAGAAGATAAAGAGTGCATGACTTTTGCATCATAGTTCACTGGTTATATATTCGGTAGATATTGGCAAGGTTATCGAATTATCGTTATCGCAGTCGCGGTCAAGTTACGAGTGCCTGCAACACTGGACTTTCATATTGTTTTAATAAAAAATACAGCGTAGGCATGAATTGCATATTGTTATTTTAGAATATTAGGTATAGGTGCCACCGTCGGAAACATTTAATTCCACTCAAATGCAAAACATATTGTTCAAGCTCATACGGCCATACGATGTTACATAAGCAAAACCTATTGTTGAACTATGTTCCACTGAAAAAGTTAGCCCCACAACACTCCATCCCACTCCCGTCTGGCCCCGTCCTGTGACATTCCCGTTCGATGTCCCCGGGTGACACACCTGGTCCGCTCTGTTCACCCGTTCTCCGCCCGGCAGTCGGGCAAATTATCGGGCGGCACATTATTGGAGCCATCAATCTGGACAAGGGCCGGCGACGCTGTAAAACTGTCGCTGTAAACTGGGACGCGATCGGCCGCCACACTGGGCAGTGGGAGCCGGACCGTCTGAAGGTGTTGGTAGACTCACGGGGAAGAAGGAGTTGGTTCTGCTGAGAGATTAAAGCTGGGAAAAAAGGAGTTGGTTCAGTCTGATGATCACGAGCCTCTCTGTTGTAACCGCTGCGCACTTTGACTTGACAACATTGAACTGTTGGCAATCAAACTTTGTAATATTCAAATTGATAAATTTCACAAGCACAGCATACACATACGATTTGTATTATAATTTTCAGACAGCTGAACACCCTCTTTGATTATTCAAATGACTGGATAGGCACTGAAACCGGATTTAGCGACATTAGAGAAATCTGGGGCATCCCGTTTCCAAGTATGTTGTTTGTTTGCCAGCAGTGGCCATCAGTCCGTCGAAAGGGGAAAGAGAGGAGGTACGACAGAACGGTCAGAGGTTATCCGTCCCCAGCTGTCGCCATATATGGACGGGCCCATATATGGGCCCGTCCAGGAGTGATGCATCTCTCCAGATGCCGGGCGTGTGGGGAGCGATCGTGGAAAGGGGAGCCGACGCGCGTTTATCTACTCATTTCGACCCCAAGGAGCAGGCGACACCTGTTGGCTATTCATTTACTGGGGAGGCATTAGCTCTCAGAAAAGATGGGGCCATGCACGGGCTACCCTCAGTTATGAAGTAAAATAAACACGCCGGACCATATAAACTAGAATTTAGTGCCAAACGTGAATTACGTCATTTAGATAAAAAACCGTCCTATAAGATCGCCAGCTGACAGTTGTGTCTTTAAAGTTACGACGCGAGATAACCGGCAGGCCGTCTGTTTATATACTATCGACAGCACAACCATGGGAAGTGGGATGGATGCCTGGGCTGGCCTATTCGCCTATTCAAGGATGGTCATTGTCGGGTGATTTAAATTAAGCGGCCCTCACGTTCTTTTTGCACTGGTCAATCAGTGACTTGTCTTTGCTACATAGTTTATACTCTGCAGCACGACCACCCGGTCTAGTTA